AAGCAGTGAAAATCATTAACAGGCAATCGTTCGATGTGCTGAATTGCACAAAACGCATGATCGCACCGGCTAGCCTGGTGCGCGTTGCCATTTATTTTACGTTGTTTCGGGAGACAGTGCGTAATCCTCACGCTCCGACAATCTGAGGCAATCCGTCGTCCCTTTACTGAAAAAATCCACCATTATCTGGGCGCAGCCTCCTGCATTTTTCATTTTGTGGTTGAAAATGCCACTTCTGTGTCTTGATGGCAAATGGGCATACTTATACAGATAAATGTTCTGTTAATTTTGAGTAAAATACTAAAAAGTACAGATACATCGAGCAAGCTTGGCGTAATTATGCCCAGCGTATGCGAGCATCCTAGTAACATCGCTAACATTGCATACTCACATTGATTGACCCAGTAGTCTTATGTCGTTAGCACTGGAAACGGGAGACTTCTAGTAATTAGAAAATTTTTCTTGTTTTTGAGAGCCTTATAATTTGAGCCACAAAAGAATGTAACTTTTGTTCTAGTTTTCAGAAGGAAAGCGATTTGATTTTATCTTACTGGATCCGCCATGGCCCAACAGATCAGTGAAGAGGAAATCTACGTATGTTAAAAATCATAAATTTGGTTATTTCTAGTAAATTGATCTTTCCAGGAATAGAATAGAATTAAAAAATTGCAGAACTCATCATCGAGTCTGAAGAACCATGAAAAATAATTGAAAAAATTTACAGTTATACAACTCATGGCGAAGTTGAGCTATTGCTGGACTTATACATACAGGAACTTTTGAAAGAATCGGGTTTGTTGGCATTTTGGATAACAAACAGCCCAGGAATACTTCACTTCGTTGATGAATTTATCGACCGTCATGAATTTGAAAAAATCGCAACTTGGCGGTGGCTTAAGGTACTTAAAAAACAGCTTTTTTTCACTGTAGTATGCTTTCATACCGCCGGCGGAACTATGGTGGTGTGAGCAAAACTGCACCACCTGTAGTCAGTTGGTTAGCCTCAAATTCATTTCCCTTTCTTTTTTTTGGGATCTAAAGATAAAGATACTTTGTTTGTATGTGTCTTCGAAAACGAGTGGATTTTGTCACCCACTTTCATCTCAGCAACCTGGAAAGCTGGGAGGTTGAAATTTTGGGACGCATAACGCAAGTACTCATTGCGTAAGAGTAATTGCGTTATGCGTTATGCAAATACTCTTTGTCTAAGAGATTGTACAGCTCTTGAAACAAGCGTCTCTTGTGCAATAATGGTACTTTAAGAGGCAAATGCTTTCGGTAAAATATTTCTGAAAATTATCTTGCCCAGCTTGATTTTTTCAATCCACTGGGCACGAAAAGCAATGCATCCTTAATATCTCCGAAATTCTTCAACTGATTTATCGCATACATTCTTCAGATGTTCGAAATAACAATTATTAGGAAGTTCGCGCAAAATGCAATTTTCTGCTTTATGAGATTTTTTACTGATGCTAGTGTTGCAAATAACAAAAAAAAAAATCATCAACATGAGGCTGAGAAAAAAAACGAGTCAAATTTTTACTGAGTTTGCAGGTGACGAGAACCGGTGAGCCGGTGTACAGCCTTGAAAGTAAGCATAAACAGCCATTCGAAAGTGTTATTTTCATTTGCAACAACAATTTGGAGTTCTACCGGGAAAAGATTGTCGATGAGTTCGTTCTGATTAGGTAAGTAGCTTCTTTAGCGG